AATGCTGGTCGGTTTATGTAATTCTGGTCAGATCGCAGAATTTTTGCAGAATTATCATTTTGCATGAACGGAATTATTATTTTGTCACCGCAGAAAATCATCGTTCTGCTATAATAATAATATTAAGTATTGTAAGACCAGTTATGCCATAGCACGAACTAACCTTAAGACCCAGACCAAATCTTTACAGCCACTTTCTGTCTACCGATTCAAGGTTAAGGAGTCTTGGGACAATTAGTTGGTTAGGTTTAATTATCCCCAATTAGCCCACACTTTCTCAGTATGCATGAAACCCATCTCTAGTTTCATCAATCGTCAATCATCTATAGTTTCGTCTATAGTTTCGTCATTCGTCTATAGTTTCGTCATTCGTCTGGGTTTCGTCAGACGAAACCAGAGTTTCGTCTGTGTGAAAATAGTTTCGTCAGGCATCACTATAAACCAACAACCCTGATCATTACGCATAAGGCATTCTTAGTTTATTAGTTATAGAACATTTTTCAAGTATCTTCTAGATGTGATTTTCTAACGATCGAAATATTGCAAAGCTATTAGAGTTGACTTATTTTGAAAATAAGTTTGTTTTATCGTATAGCGTGAAATAACGCACAGGGGAATATCAGCCTGAATTAAGCCAAAATTCAAAATAACGCCCTTTTACGTAAATATATAATTTCGAAAGAAAATTTATGATTGTAAAATATTCATTATTGTATAAATAAGCTCACAAATAATCACTGATTTTGAAATAAATATGTCACTAATTAAATTCGAAATCAGAAAACTGTACATTAGTTTTGAAACACTAGCTCTAAAACACCCTATTACTTTAGTTATTATAATAAAATTTTATAATAGTACGAAAGGTGATATTATTGAGAATGCTACTTTTACTATGAATTATATATAATAATTATAATACTGTAGTAGTGTGCTCAACCACTATGATAAATCGCAATATCAAACGGATATCCAATCGGATATCTGTTTAGGTATCCGGTTGGATATCCGGTTTGGATATCCGTTTGGATTCTATTTGGATATCCGTTACAAATATACTGTATAAGATAATTCGGTTAAATCTATTTGGATATCCAATATAATCAGATAGATATCCGGATATAATAACACGGATAAATGGGTGGCGGGTTTATCCGGATTGGACCTCTAATATTTGGTCAACATTCAGCAATGTTTTTTTTTGGTAAGTATCAGAAAAATATCTGGTTATAAAAATAAGCCGAATATTATATGAATTAGCTGAATGTATTCTGATCTATTGTGAATTCAATAGACATTCGGCGTGTCTGATTATAGCAAGAACTTTGTATCTTGACTAATGTACGCTGCGGTTACCACAAATACGCGAGTGCGTTGTAGTCGTTATGATCACGCTCTATAAAATTATCATGTATATAAGTGCTTACTCTTATCCTTGGTTGAGGAAGAACACACGCTCTCCGAATTCCTCTCCTAAATAAAGATAACATAAATTCATAATCTTTTTATAATAAATGGCTAATAAATCATGAATATCCGAATACCTAATTTATTGCCAATTCATTTGACCACTTTAACGTAAACCATCGGAGTTAAACTATGCATGAAAGTGCCAAGCTCTTCTTACTACTAGAGATACCGAGAAAACCATGTGATGCTAAATAATCACAAGAAATAACTAGTCTTTTTTTAAGTCACATGCAATAAGTATAAGCTGTAGAGTTTGATCACATGATTTTCTCGGCATCTCTAGTGCGTATTCCAAATAATTTTCGTTTTTAATTCAACTCAAAACGTACAGTACATAATATCCTTGAAAACCTTATTTGAAACGATACCTTCTTATAGAAATCTGATTCGATCATCAAGATATTCATTTACCATATAAGCGCGAAATAACGCTCGTGAACGTTATTTTTAAAATCGGGTCCTTCAAAAATAACTCAAAAATAACTTATATGGCTCCGAATTAACGCTCACGGGCGTCCCGAATTAACGCACATCCTAATGATGCACATCCTAGAGATACACATCTTAATGTATCACATAATTTATTGTCATGATAGATATACAGTCGATAAGTGACCATATGGGTGTCACATTAAAGCATTAGGCCATTCAAAGTAAATTAGCTGTTTAACGTAAACATTTGAGCTCAAGCATGAGAAGAGAGAGGGGAAATTAAAACGAACACATATATGACACAGAATATTTGACAAAGTATCATTGGCCAACCATAATAACGTGATTATTAGAGATTATCCTGCGCTGTGATTGGCTTGTTTAATTTTCGGTGGGACAGCTAACTGAGAGGGGGATAACGTAAAACAGCTATTCAACTTTGAACGGCCTTATTATTAAACTAGCAAGACTCGTGCTGTTGAGCACGGAGTAAAATTAAGGCCGTTAAAAGTCCATCTTTTCAGTCTGAACTCTACAAATAGAGACTTTGATAAGAAATTGGTAGAGCCAGTGCATATAATACGTATTATCATATATAAAGTTCATGCTAATTTCAATACAAACTAACTCAAAATTATCTACAAAATGCGATCACTGGAATAGCAAGTAACTATAACAGAAGTTTTTATAGCAACTAACAATTAAATCATGACACAATATTTTCACATTTGGTAGTCACCATAACACACTAGTGATAAAATGATGAATAATGAGAGTCAATATAGAATAGTTAATTAGAAGTAAAATAAATTAAACAAAATTAAGACAAGAAGTTAGCTACTTAAATGTGGTAGAAAAATTCAAATAATGAAATTTAATACGTAACCTGAAGTGTATAAAATCTTGTCTGAAAATTTGTCTGAAAATTTGTACTAATGTGACACCATAAAATAACAAAAAATGTGTAAAGCTAAAAAATAAACAGTAAACAATTTCATATCATTAATACAAAGCTCTATCTGTTTTGCTATAAATTATAATATAAAATTGTGATGGATTGAAATGAAATATTATACAATGTAAAAAATAGGTACGAGGTTAATTTTTGTGTAGAGTTATAATAAATAAATATAAGTGTGTTTTAGAGGATAACTCCCATTTAATTTTTATCCGATTTCATTATTATCCGCAACTATAAATTATCGCCCATCACGAGTGTCCTGTACGTTTTTACCAACCATTTTTCATGTAAAATAAGGTATATCTTACATTCTTAATTTATTTCAAATTATCACTTTATTTTAATGTTAAAAGATCAGTGATGGTCATAAATTTGAATATGTTTTATCACGATGATTTGATTCGTTGTAACCGTGGAAGATACCTGGCTAACGTTAGGTCAAATTAGCTCAGGGTTACAAGCATAGGTTATGCGAGATGACTGTTTATAAAGGATTCGGATTTGATGATAATAGGTTATTAAGTAATGTATTTTAGTTAGTATACGATTCATAAGAACGTTATTTATTACTTAATTATGACTCAGGCCGAATTCTTTCTTTCCCTTATTAGTTTTGGGTCTTATATTTATACGATCTGTGGTCCCAAATCCAGCTCACCGTATTAAAATTGATCCGGTATTATATACAAGCCGGTAATCCCCGGCTATATAAGAGCCTTTCGGATCTTTATTTAGGCAGAATTCACCTCTTATTCCAGCTATTGGATAATACTTTAATTTCTTAATTTTAGTGTTGGGATCCGATGTCAATCCAGATGTCTGGATAGTCATCCGCGCTCAAAAGCAGCTATCCGGATAGGACATCTGTATCCATCTGAATATCCGTTGACAAATATCCGTGCTCAAAAAATGTCCATCCGGATATCCGGATAATAGCAAATTAGAATGTGTTGACCAATAATTTTATTCTTATTACGGTAAATTAAAAAAGTCTATATAATTATCTGGATATGGGCGCTTTGAAGTAGAAAGGGCGGAAACTACCCAAAAAATGAAAATGAGTTTTTATTAGATTCGGGTAGACTTCGATGTGATCAACATTTTTCAATTATAAATGAAAGTCGATTTGCATAATAAAAAATCGAGATAATGCAAAAGAAAATTTACACGTAGCAAGTGTATCACGAGATTGCCCGTTAATCACATGCTATTTTTAACCAATAAAAATCGTAAAATTTTGATTAACCCGGATCAGTCCGAAAATCAAAACAATGGGATATATTAGAGTTTCCGCCCTTTCTATTGCAAAGCGCCATATTATCTGGATGACCATCCGGAATATTTTTTGTTATCCGGATTCACCATCCGTGTGCAAAATATGACATCCGAATATCCATACCATCCACGGATATCCGGATGTTTAACCAAACGGATCCCAACACTACTTAATTTCATTATTTAATTAATCAGAAAATGAATAAATTAACTAAGGAGTTACCCATTTCTATGAACTATTCAGCGGGACATGAACTATAATTTTTCTTTAAAAAATCCACAATCAATATAAATAGTTCAAGTATTAATTTTGTATATTTTACATATCAAAACCTAGTTCAGCTCAGATTACTCTGTTCAAATTAATCACAATGTATTCTGCAGACTTGTCTTTTAATTGAATTTATGTCCGGTACTTTTGACTAGCTGACATTCTTTCAACCACATGACTATTTGTAGCTATGCTTTTCGATTGTGTTTTTTGTCTAATGGCTAAATTTAAGTCAGATTTTATTAACAATTGAAATGATCAGTGATTCACATATGTATATGCAATGAAGTCAAATGGTTATCAAAGTGTCACTCAAGATCTAAAGGTTGCCGAAGTTTAAAGCTTTACATAATAGTAATTGCATTTTAAATATGTTCTATCGCTATCAAGAACTCAATTAGGGTATTTAATTTATAAGTTAACAAATTTATTAAATTTGGTTAAATAAATTAATTGCATAAGTTAATTAGAAACTATAGTTGAATCACTAATAGGATATATTATTATCGTATGCTAAAATAAAAAAATGCAAAATCTTTTTTGCTGCTTAATAACCAGCATGATAGAAATTACACAGCAATATTAAATAATTCACAAATCAATCCTTAAAAGATTCATTATTTTTTCCAATATAATATTTCCACCTAATTTTTCAATTTTTTCTCGTACCATTTTTTCAGTCTTTTCTAAATAATTACGGGTATATTCAAAAGAACCAGTTTCATTCATTATATTGACAGCAAATTGCTTTAACTCAATAGAATTTGTATGCTGCTTCAAAATATCTAAAATATTATAAACAAAAAAGGTTAAAGACAATGTTAAGTTTTTAGAGAATTAAAATGATAATTAATATAGAATAATAAGTTACTGATTAGTCTTCGATCATTATGATCAGTATTAATTGAATGTATAATAGGGAAAGAGAATTTTCCTTCTGTTAAGTCTTCACAATAACCTTTGCTGTCAGTATACTGTATAAAATATAAAGCATTTGAATTTATTATTAACTTTATAAGATAAATAAAATCTCACCCATATGACAATTACCATTTTAGATTTTAAATTCATGTAATCATCACGAATTTGAAAATGGATGCCAATATCATCTACAAGTGGTACGTAATCACTATTTAGAGAAATCAAATAATGCATTATTAGAACTATTTATTTAATAAACAAAAAAAAAAACTATAATATATATGTATATATACGTTTTTGACTCACTACACTGTTGCATAAGTCTAACAGCCAATCTTAACAGACCACCAGTTTCTAAATGAAGAAAATTTACAATACATATATTCATGATAGTATTGTTATTTGTTCAAATAAAAATAAACCATACTATTTGAAACCATATCAATGAATTCAGCTTCCGAAGGGCATGTCAATGTATCTCTCCAGTATAATTCCATTCCTTGACCACGATGCAAATTTAGTAATTCAGCTATAATAATTAAAAAAGATTAAATACAAAGAAAAAGTGAAAAAAAAGGAGGCTTTAATAAGAATAATTTACATGTATAAATCTTGAGCATTTTTGGATTATCAAATTTTGTAAGTTCATGTAAAACAAGGAAATAAACGTAGTTCGCACAATTTATAGTTGCAGGCACACCGTATATTGAATGAGCAACTATAATAAAGTGAGGGTTATTTATAAAGTTATTATGTAAAATTAACAAGATATAAAAGTCACCAGGAACACCACGGCGTAAAACAGAACCGTCTTCTACATCATCCATTCTATTTTTTTTTAAAAGGATTAATTTTTTTTATAAAAATTAATGACTGTAAAAACTTTTACATACAATAAACTAGCAGTATGCAACATTTCAACCACAGCGGTAATAGCGGATAATTTATCTTTGGGTACATTAAGCCAATGGTCGAAAGCCTCGATTAACTTGCTTCTCATTTCTTTTCCAGGATGAGACAAGAGATAATTATAAGGCTCTAATAAAATCTTTGTAATATCATTCAATATAAAAGGAATAGTCAGAACAATTCGCATTAACAATCTTAACGTTAAAATATCAAATATCACAAGGGAATCTCTTTACCAGTTCTGCAGACAAAGAAGGCAAGGCAGGCCGAGCAGTAGAAGAATCAACTTTTCCATTCCTATTAGGATTCATTTTTTTTCAAAGATATATTGAAAACCAAAAAAGAGGTTTATTTCAAAAATAAAAAATAGTTTGTGGGATGAAGTATAACTTTGATCTAAATGTAACTAATAAATGAATTTACTTCAGGTATTTTTTATGAATCCGTGAATAGGATAATAAGATCAAAGAAATTAGAAATTTACTTACCCATAAATGTGTCTATCGGGCCTTTGTATACTTAAGACTAATATTAATCTTATTTGACGCCATTGTCATTGGGCAACTTATTTAATATAAAATAATAAGATATAAAAACATGAAATTTTATTTGATAAACCTAGTGCTTCGATCCACAATCCAACTAATTCGAATTAAATGCAGATACCCTTATCTGTCAATTTTAAACGGGTAGATCCGAATATATTTCGGATTGGGGATTAAGATTATTCGGATCATGAACCTTACTAGATTAACACATGATCTTCAACGCGTCTGTCTGTGACGCAGTTCTTTTATAAGTATTTGTTCTGCATGTTCGAGAGAAGTCTAATTTATGCATCAGATTGAAAAATGCATATTACGAATATAATAACGAAGGCAACACAGACAAAACAATAAACCACTATTTTTTTTGCATTCACTTATGCTATTTCAATTTAATAATCATAGAGATTCTCACACCGAAAATTTATCACCAAAATAAAAATCAATAAAACAGCAAAACTTTTTTTAATTAATAAATATTGTATTATACTTTATCAGCACATGTTTCTATTTTCATCGTTGAGTTAAAAATTAATATTAAGATTATTTTAAGTAGCATATTAAATAAATTATAGTTATTCAACATACCCATACAATAACTATCTTATTGCACGATGTCTGACGTAGCAATCCCGTGCCAATAAGTAAATGAAAAAAGCATGGGTTGTCACATAAGACCCGTGCAATAATTAATAATGCGCATGTGAATTATGTGAATTAGATATATTGTGGTTTCAGAATTAACTTTTTTTCAAAATAAGTGAGAGTTTAAAATCCTTTTTTAATTCAGAATCAGAAAATTAAATAGGCATAGCTGGTAATAAATTAGCTTATTTTGATAAACATTCATCAGTAAGTGATTATGTAGATAACATACTTTAAAAAAATAAAATTTGTACGTCGCTTTTTTGAAATAAATAATGCGTCGCTAATTTTATTAAAAAGACTAATATAAGTATTAGTGATGGGTATATCGGCAAAGAAAAAGGATTTTTTATGAAATTTTAATATATAGTACAATCATCCATAATCAAATACTAAATTCGAACTTTAATGAGCTGTTAGAATGATTTTATAATACGAACTTGCTCATCCTAACATTAACCATTAGGGTTCCAATCTGTTAAGCGTTTATCCGGATAATTATAAGATATCTGGATCTGAAAATTCGGCACAAATATGCTGAGCAAAAAAATTTTTTTGTTAATTTTGTACAAATAACAATACATGCACAACGAACTTTCCGGATATCTGAGCGATGAATTATCCTGATAATTCAGATGGTTATCCGGATCGAAACTCTACTAACAATAACTCTCTAGAATTTTTTCGTCGGCATGCAGCAGTTCGCTTCCAATAAAGTTTATGATTGGCTTATTTAAATCGTGATCAGCCACGTTCCTTTTAGACTAAAACGGAAAAAGATTTTCGTTAAAAAATTTTATACTACGTACTTATTATGTGCGCGCGGATTATCAGATCGCTCTGAGCATGCCCAAAATTTTTATCATATTCTGGTTGTATTTGTAAGATTTTTTAAGTTTGACGACTTCTGATTCCATTATAAGGCCACACAAAGTTAACTTTTCGTTTTGCATTACATGTATTTCAAAATCAACGGTCGGTCGGTCGGATTTTTATTTTATTTTATTTTTTTATTTTTTAATATACAGTAATTAATAGACTCGGAAAATTGTGTCGGCAATCAAATTTTTTTTATCAGTTCTATCGGACAATTCCGGAAAGATAAGGTCTCAATCGGGTGATAGCGAATTAATTTATGGGAAAAAATTAAATGGCAAAAATAGAACACATTACGGCGCATTTTTACACTACTCTAAAATTTATGATACATATAATGACGCACTGTTAATATGAGCTAAATGATTTAAACCATGATTAATTATCGAATACAATTTGCAGGAGATGGGTTTTAAGGTGGAGAGATTGGTTTGACGTGATAAACTATATTACCGTATTTTGTGGAGTAAAATACCCCCTTAGCATAATACCCCTATTTCCTTTTTTAGTAATTTCAGAGTAAAAGATCCGAGTACTATGCACGGTTTATAATATGATCGGTTATATAGTATCTCTGTGGTATTGTACACGTTTCTATTACAGTACCCCTTAGTATAGTACCCGGGTATAATTAAATGTTTTCTTATGCCTCGGGTATTTTACTCCGTAGTTTTATTCGATTTGGGGATCATTTTAGCATATGCGTCATGTGTTTTATACGTAATAATTATTAATAATCACGATAAATCAATAGTAATTCAGGTTCTTAATTTAGGCCCAATCCCAAAAAAGCGCCGTAATGATTAACACAATTGGAAAAAAAAAAAAATCGAAAAATTGAAAAAATGGATCTGCGAGTAATGCAAAACGAAAAATTAACTTTGTGTGGCCTAATATGTATACATTTTGCTATGTAAATTTTATTTGAAATTACGTACGTACATACTATGGTCGGGATTCATAGGAGGGTAACTTATTTATACACTTTAAAGTACTTTTCGAGAACTTTACGTTTCATTAATAAAAATTACCACAAAGGTTATTTTTCGTTTCGTAAGAACGTCTGTATTCACTATGTTAAAATAATCAAAAATAATCAGCTTCCCATGAACTTCGCTTAGAAGCGAATATTTTTACTATTTACTATTATACTATACTATTCTATGAGCTCTAAATACTGGAAACGATCAACAAAAAAAAAAGATTGAGACATTATATCTAAGAATTAACTTAAAGAACTTCGTGTGTACCATTTAACTTGCTATTATAATAACAATAAGCCTGCACTAACGCTCATATTTTACGCATTCTAAATTCTATAGTTAAAACATTAGAAACTTTGGGTTAAATGGTGGATTAATTATAAGTAAAAGAGTATTATAGTTTCATTAAGTATGTAAGCTAAATGTCATGTTATATCCCTAATAAAGGTCGCGATAATTAAAAATAAGATTTAATTGCTTTGCTTAATTTTCAAAAGATAATGATAATAAATAATTTGCTGATAATTATTCGGGTATTGAATTTTTTGATTGTTATGCGTTTGGGTTTATTAGTGATAAATATTAATTTACTAAATTTTACGCGTATCTATCTATTTCTAATATTTGATATATTACAAATTCTTTTTTACGTGCATTTAGTAGTTTGTAAGCTTCTTTATGTGAAGTTTTCATTTTTAACAAAAATGACATTTTTAAAAAATCGTGCATTTTGATTGGCAATTGTCACGAGAAATAATGAGTAGATCTACAAAAATTAACCAAACGTATGTATGACGTCGATCGCACCTTTTATAGAGGTTCGCTAAAGCGGGTAACGGCTATGGTTAACAATTAGGTGGCCGGATTTGTGTTGCCGGTATTTTCTAAATTAAAGTCAGATTTTCGTATTCGTTCAACAAATAGTTCATCGTTACAAGTGTAACTTGATAGTCTTGTGTTTGTCGTATTTTAATTCTATATGCTGCGCCATTTCCATTGTAGAACAATTCGTAATAATACAATTGTTGTTTGACTTTATTTAGTAGTTCGATTACTCTGGGATATCGTTCCATTATTGTAGCTGCTTCTGGCCGGTCCTTTCTTTCAAATATGGATAAGTATTTATATCTCTTTAAAATTTGTTCTAAGTTGAGCACTTGTTTTTCTATCAATTTCAATGGTGCTATTTCTTTCTGTACTTTTTGTTTTAATTTCTAATCTGTTTAGAAGTGACCTTTTCCTTATCTTTCATCAGGTCTTCTAGTTCTTGTTCATTCATTTCTGTCAGTTCGTCTTGTTCAAATTCCGAATCTACTTCTTCAAATATTCCAGGGTATATTTTTCTCTGGTTCGTCATTACTTTGATTTCTTTTGTGAAGTTCAATCTGTTAATCATTTGTAGTACCAGGTAGTCTTTTATTTGGTGAAATATATAATGTAAGTTGTGTTGAATCATTGGTATTAACGGTAATTGTTGTCCTTCAATTTGATTTAATGAATATATTTGCCATGGTCCCAATGTTTCTGGTTCAGTATTTTTTGGTTTTTCTTTTTCTAATTTAAATATAAATAA